CACAGACAACCTCTCGTCAATATGCGTTTTCTGCATTGCATAGCTGCAAAAAACGCATAAAAACTCCAAGAAATTATGGAAGTACAATTTGAAAACTTATTTTTCAAAATTCCGAAAATTACGTCAAAAGTGAACTGCAAACCCAGTAAGCATTAATGCGTGATCCCAATCACGCGCGCCCAGACTTCGTTGATACCGACAAAATCGGTCCAAATATTTCTGTGCATGCCCATCGTTGTGCAAATGTGCTGCCATTGCATTCTGAAAATAGTTTGCTTCATTTACAAGCTTAGAGTTAGGTAAATTGTGGTCCAATCGTCGAGCTTGTAATTCTACAGGGGACGAAGAACACAATTTGCCTTATTAATTAATTGGCTATTTTGATCGATGCTACACCACCTGGTGACCAGCGGGCGATGTAGCATCGATCAAAACAGCTGGAGGAGCTGCCAGTTGCGCAATTAAAAACGATGCCTTGAAATGCGACGCATCAAGATTCAAAGTAAAAAATTCAGCCCGCTAAAGTTACATGTGGAGCACTATTGATGTATTTGCAAACTGAGTTGTTTATTTTGTCTTTTACATTAAATATTAACTTTTCTCGGCGGAAATTCGTGTTTCTCAAGTTTAATTCTCGCACCTCTCAGTTCAACGGAGCAAAGTCTGGTGCTTATCAACAGCATATAGAAATTTCTTAACAGTCTTTCACCAATCTTTTTCTTAACTAGAAAAGAAAAAACGTAGAACAGGGAGGGCATCCACCGCCTTTTTTAGTATTTTCTCTCCTTACCCTGAAGAAGAAAGTGCCTGTTGTTCCCCTCCCCTTCCTCGTGCTTGATTTTTACATGTTTTCTTCACGCATCACACCCTAAACGTACCGGTTGAGTGCTAAGTACTTCGAATCGTACAACATGAAAAGTAAGCTGTGGTACGGCACTTGGCTGATGATACATGATCTGGATGTTGTTGAGCATCGTGAGTGCATAATCCTGCAACTGAGTGCTTGCCGTTGTGCCATATTTGCTGCTAAAATGCCGCCAGAGCATTTCATCTACGAAGATCGCCAATTCTGCCTGTAAACTGTAACTTTAAGAATGCCCAGCATCTTTCCGGCGGTAAATTTTAAACGGTTCGACGGTAAAAGAAAATAGTCGTTCTCTCTTTCCGATGTCACAGGAATCTTCCCACACATATTAGGCGCTGCTATCCTAGGGCATTCGATCCTGGGGTACACATCTTCTCTTATCTACATACTGCTTCTTTGGTATTTATGTTCGAAAACTTGCTACTGTTTTTCTTTTTTTT